ACTTAATGGTGTCGCATTCAGTTAGGGCTGCTGTCAACTTGAAAGCTGCAAGCAGGGGAAGCAATCTGTGAAGGTTTTTCTAGACTCAAGATAATGTGTTTTTAGACTAATGTTACTATCTTGCCTGCTAACAAAAGGGACCCTTGCCCAAATGACATGTCTCACAACATAAAATCACAGCTCATTTTCCTAGATTTGTATTAAGGACCCAAAAGTATTGAAAGGCAGAGAGGTTGGGGGACCATCCACTCCGTCGGAGGGGGGCCAGATACCAAATGTCGCATACAACTACTCAATCCCACCCCCCCAACTCAATTATCCGTCGTCATTGTTCATCTTTATTTGGTTTTTCCCGGGGACCATTGCTGAAAGGGACAAGGATAGACCATTGGGGCTGAAACCCCACCCTTGCCCTTAGTGAGGAGTTGCCTTCGGCAATTGGCATAACCCATAATATCTGTCTTGATTACGAAAGCACAAAAAACCACAATCAATGGTATGTTTGGCAATTTATTAAGTTATAAGCTCGCATTTTGAAATCTAAAAGCACAGTTTTGTTCTGTTTACTTCTTTCAAATCACCACTTGGCTATCCATTTGTCTCTTTGTCTCCTCTCCGTCAGATACTAGAAGTGGTCTCCTTTTGCATGGCTAAATACCATTATCATCAGTTTCATCACCCCAAAATAATATTATTAGGAGAGGCCAAATCCGGAGCCCTTGACAGCTCCAGAGCTTTGCTGGTTTAAGGCTTGTTTTCAGTATTAAATGAATGGAAAAGCATGCTGAACTAATTGTATATATTGGAAGCTGATAAGTTGCTTATACAATAAATCAGCCAGCTAATTACATTTTATTAAGTACTTCTAATATTTTATGCATAAAAACACAACAGAAGGGTGCAGAAACAACTAATTGACCTAAAGAAGCCAAATTATAATTTCTGATAACAAATACAGTTGATTATCCTAATTAGTTGAGCTTCACAATACTTAGTTTCTGAGAGGTCCAAATCCTAGTTCTACTACTGCACCATCTTGTAGCACTAAATTAGCTTTTACAGGGCTTGGCTTCTTCTCTTGATCAGCTTCCAATTGACTTGAAGGTTGTGCTTTTGTCTCAGCAATTTGAACTTCACCTAATGAACCTCTATTATCAGCCTTCACTTTCTGGCTTGTATTGTTGGTGTTGTTGATCATAGCTATGTCAGTAGCTTCAATGGCATTATAAGATGGGATGACAGAGGGTAGCTTGGATAATAAAGCTCCAAGACTGCAAGACATAGTAGGAAGAAGGGGTGGAATTGACCAAAAAGGTGGTCCAGTAATGCCGTTTTGTGGGCTGTTCCAACCTAAGTTGACGGACTTGATTGGAGAATCCTCTGGTCTTTCGTCGATCAATCTTTTTGTTCCACCTAACTGGCGGTTGTCGTCGAGACGGAATGCTGTTTCATGGCTGTCAAGTATCTGGTTATTTGGTTTAACGACGTATGGATGTTGGATTGGTAAGTATGATCTTTGTATGGCAAAGACGCCAGGTATGCTCTGGAGATAGCTGAATTTCCTCTGTATGCTGATCACCAGATTGAGATCTTCCACAATCTGAAAAATCCATTACTCATTGACTGACTTGAAACCAAAAGAACAAAAAGAAAAGCGAGAGAGAGAGAACAGACCTTGTCAAATGAACCAAGTTGAATGATGCCTTCTCTGACTGAAATGATGACAATTGTCTGTAAATCAAGCGAAACTGTAATGAGCATTTTTTATGGGCTATTGCAGCGGTTACGGTTTGGAATTCTCTTTTCACATTTTTCCTTCGTGTAGTTACTAACCTGAATGCCTGAATTGAATTGAAATTCCCACGCCCTTGGTTGCTGCTTATACGATCACAAAACTGAAAAATCAGGTTACAAGAAAAAGTACATTGATATATGCAATGAATTTTGTTGAGGATAAAAGTAACTATCAATGTTATCTTACAGGCTCAATAGACATATTCCACGAGGAGATGAAGCTAGGATCATTGTCATTTGGGGTTTCTTTATACACCCATTTGTGACTGTTATCTGCTGCAATCTTCCCTACTAATCTGTAATCAAGGTGCCATTAACTTAACCATTTAGCTCTTGAAATAATTACTCAATTTCTGTAATTAGGAATCCAATGTAATCAATGGAATTCTCACCCTTCTCCATAGTTGTAGACTTCATGGGACATTTTGAAGAAAACATCAGCTCCAAATCTCCCCTTTACGTAACCACTTCCAGCACGCTCACATTCATGGAAGTCACAGAACCCATCTTCCCAGACAAGAATCCTAAAACACAGCCATCAGGAGCTTACAATTGAACAAAATGAAACAGGGTTTTGGCACAAAAATTTAACTGAATTACCAGTTCCTTTTGTTTCCTTTGGAACGATCAAGAGCACTTCCTCCATAATCCCACCTGCAAGAGAGCAATTTGATCTACAGGCATTAAGTGGACATGACATTAGACAAATTCATTATCACTTGGTTTTGACATTAAGACTCTGCTGAACCAACCAAGCATGTTGGCCATGACATTTACTAGTATGCTTTCAATTTCCCTTTTTCTTACTTTGGTGGCGGATAATTTCGCGGCAGTATCCTCCAAAACACAGCATAAACCCACTTTGAAGAAGAAGAAGAAGAATCTGAATATGAACACAGGCTCCGTAGCGTGTGCTGCAGGAGACAGTTAAGCATGGGAAGTCCACCTTCCATTGTCATCCACAAGCGAGAGAAAGAGAGTGAGATAAAGAGAGCTGCCACCGGACAAAGAGTCCCAGTTAATGTCGCACATATAAAAGTAAAGAGCACGAAGAGCATGGCCACATTCCAAACGCTGAGAATTCAGTGTAAGCAACACGCTCCAATTAAGTTCATTTGTTCACTGCACCCTCTCATTAGTTTCATGGCGGGACCACTCATTTATGGTTGATTCAAATGTAAGAAAAAACGACCTGTTTGCACCCCAAAACAAAATTGTTGGCAAGTTGGATACACTCTCCTGCTGGGGACTTGGGGATGGAATTTCTTGAGCGGACAGCTTCCGCACAGAAGCTTCTTTAATTACGTGTCTTTCCTTAAGAAAGCAGAATGGACAAATATGAAACGGCATGAAATAGTTGGTTTTAATAATGCTGTTTGATTAGGATATGATAATGTGAGAGTTTTAATGGGATAATCTCACCGTGCAGACTGTAGTGTCTCACTTGTACTTGAGCGGCCAAGTCTGCAATTGATAATAGGAGGTCAAAAGGGTGTATGAAAATCGAGGTTTTCTTTCTTTTTTTCCCGCAAATCGAACTCTCATTTCTTTTTCTTTTATTTAGGTCCTATTTGTTCAGGATAATTTAATTAGATGGATATCTCACGTTGAACCAATGCTTTACCAGTGTCAACTGAGGTGCCAAAAAGGCCAGACAGACAGCCACCTTGGAGATTCTGATTCTTGCCTTCAACCCAAAGAAAAGAGATCCCTCATTTTGTTCTTGAATAATTTGAAGTGTGCTAGATGACTTACAGATCATTTGAAATATATGCGGTGTATATGCCCATTTTAACAAGTTTATTGATTCTGAAAGCGGAAAATGTTTTTCATACCTATAAATTATAATAGCAATTCTTGATCAATTGCATAAAAGTTGGCCTTTTCTTGGCTAAATAAAAGAGGGAATTTTATAAAGTGTTTTAACATCTATTTGTTCTTACGAATTTATATTTGTATTTCAGTACAAGGCACTTCATATTTTTATGTATCTCCTTAGTGGCTCAGTCACAAAGACATTTGTTACTTCGTAGTATTTGCTAAAAATCCAACAGGAAAAAGGGTGTTTATTTAATTAGATAGATGCGAGTTACTGATTTATGTAAAGCCAATTTTTCATAGCCTGAGATTAGAGCAACAATAAGTCTGAATCTATTTAAAGGTTTGAGAAAGTGATGGTGGTGCAACACTCCTTTCAAGCGTCTTTTAAGTGTCCTTTAATATTTTCTTTTTTCTTCTAACAATATTTTATGTCAATATATATATATGTTTGTCGTTGCGCATTTGGCTTATTAATGAGTGCATAATCCTCTTATTTAGTAGGGTTTGAATCCCTCTTTCCCTAATTATATATATATATATATATATATAATAATATATGTATGTTTGTCCATTGTTGTAGTAGCAGTGATCCTGAAGTCTGATGGGTCTTATGAATCAATTATGCTCAGCTGTGTAAGCTTATAACTGGCCACTTAGATGATCATGAATGATGAATCTGAGCCTGGCCAACGCCCCTGGGATGGGAATGATAAACAATTTTATAGCTCTTTAAGCGATACAAAAATATCAATCTACTGAGATAAGCAATCCAGGTTCTCATAACTGCAGTATTTATCTTGTTCAAAGAGGTGGAAAGGTTTCAGGCTTTATCTTCAAGGTCATCCAAAAGGGCATCTTCTGAGACCATATCTAGATAATTAAATATTGCAGGCTTCAATGTCAGAGAAACCACACCCCACCCCCCCACCCCCCCACAACCCCTTCTGCCTTATGGTGCTACATTGCACAACCCTCGTTCAGGAAGCTCTGGTCAAGCTGACAAAGGAAGCTGAAGTGGGCTGCTGCAATCTTGGGGAAGACATCATGCTGGTCCTGGTGCCCATCAATATAACAAGAAAAGCAGTCAAGAAACCACTTATCTGCCCAAGCTGATCTTGACCGACTGAGTGGTCCAAGGATGTTTAATATATCTGTGCATTCAGCATTTCAGTTCTATACTTTATGGCAGTTTATTGAAGAAATGCATTTTCTAAAGCCTGGCAAATTAGAGATGATCTAAACGTTAATATCTCAAAGAACAAAAAAAAGTTTTGTGAATGAAATCGTTTTCGCTTTCTGAAAAAGGAGAAATGTGGTCCTCTAGCAATACTTCTAATTACTGAGAGTGCAGGTGTTGTGCATTATCAGCTTGTTAACTGGACTCCATTTACACAGCGGCACTCCCCTTCAAATAGAAAGTTATCTAGAGTCCAATCACAGTACTGCAGCTTCCTCTGCTTAATTTGCATGGAAAGTTATGAGTTTATGACAGCTCAAATGGGAAATGGATCTGCTTAATCATGGTAAACACAACTTAGTCTGTCGAATGTAAATAGAAAATGCAGAACAGTTGCCATTTCAAGGAGTTAAATTCATTTCTTTTTGTAATTTAATCTAAAGCCTGAGTAAAGAATATAATTTAAATATATCTGCAGCCCAATTATCATAATGAAAATCATGTAAAGCTCATTGTTAAAGATAAGAGTTAGCAATTCAAAGTATCATGAGAGACTGCAGTTAATGGTTTCTCGAAAATTTGATATAATAATTCAAGGAGATATTGGTACAAGTTGAACGCCGAGATGGGGACGGTGGCAAGCATGGTGGGGGCAGGTAAAAAGATTGACAACTACAATATGTAAGGCAAACGAGCCTCCCAACTCTTTCTAAAAGGACATCCATGGCATGGCATGGCCCTCACCACCCCTAAAGTAATCACTTTTACTTGGTTTTCCTTATCTCTTTGGATTGAACAGTCTAACAACCACCGCTCATTGGTGCAAAAGATATTACACGTCCCTAAATCTCATCAGAAATATGAGTCCACGAAAATCTTATTAGCGAGCCTTTTTTGCTGTTTTCCTATGGAGCTACACAGCCAACACTGACTTGAAATATTCGAAGTCTTTGCTCTAATTTGTCACTTCAATAACAGTGCCTCATGCTTTTGTGAGTTTTTTGATTGGCTTAGCATCACCAATAGTTACCAAAATCAAAGCTCCAATAGGTGTTAGGGAGCCAGCAATGATATAAAAAGATATCCAGCTTAGGTGATCATAACCAAATTGTCTATCCTGCGGAAATGGTAGTGTTCCAGCTGCAAACCAAGATTGACGGCTACTGTCTGTCCCATATTATTCTATGGCCTTAGAAATGGATGGATCAGGACTCAGGTTTCTCTTGATGATACTCAAATCTACAAAATAATTACATGGTTAAAGCGAGTTTTTCCAAATTCATGAAAGCTTAAATTCCAACCTAGGTCCACTTGTGCATATAGATGGAGCCAAAATAAAAAACTCACAGCACAGACAAAGTTGTGTTTGTACCCAATGCTAGATAGCATCTTTCGGTACCTACAAAAGCGACGATACATTAAAGCAGAGAAGAAGAAACCTAGAATTAAAGGTTGGCGAAGTTCCGAATTTGCAATGTTATTGTATCTACAATGCTTTTCAGAGTATTCGAATTTATAAAGAACAAATTCAACTGCTCAAGCTAGAATGCTTACCTTCTTCAACATACAGCTGTTTTCTTAGAAACAACGGTCCACGCGGACCTCGAATCTTTGATAAAGGAAGATCACGAGGAGGTTTTTTCTCTGCAGAGAAGATTCAAGTAGAAATAAATGTCCCGTCACATATATATAGTTAGAAAAGCAGCTCCTCTCATGGAGAATTTTATTGAAAAAGTCTTTAAACTTACCAAAAAATTAAAAAAAAAAAGAAGAAAAGTAATAGTATGGAACATCTCAACGTTAAATGGTTTAATCTACCTGGAGCCTTCTGTTTGGTTCGTAGGTAAGAGCCACTTCCTCTCCGATGTACAGCTCAAAACAGAGAAAGGACCAACACTATAAATGAAGGATGCAATTATAACAGCTACGAGCAGTACTTAAAAATATCTCAGGGGGAAGATAAGAGAATTAAATCGCAGCAATAGACATTGGAAGGATGTTGATTTAAAGTAACCTACTTGCACAGGAGGAAGGAAATGAAATATGTCTAAACTTTATAAATGTGCAGTATATGTCACCTCATTGCTAACATCAGCTGGTAAATGTACGTAACAGGGCTGCGAGAGGTCAAATCCAATGAAATTTTCAGTACAAGATATTAGTAGTCTGGTTCAGATTATGGAACATGCCCAATGGGTGTCACGCTTAGTTCTTTCTATCAGCCTCAAAATCTAGCAGCTCTATGGCCATGGATAGAGTGACCAAGTCCAATAAAAATATTGCATGATTAAGACAGGGTGCCTCTCTCTCTCTCTCTATTAGGTTACTACCGTGATGGTAGAAACAGCTTTGATAAGATTAGAGAAGAAATTGTTAATGTTACTTTAAACAAAACTAGACAGCCGTGTTACTGCTTCGGCTTGGCTAAAATTGTAAGGATGAAATAGGGTTCAAGGTACATAACTAAATATTTCTGGTTCTGGTTCTTATTCGTTGGTAAGCCACTCTTTTCTTCTAGCAAGGATGGAAAAATTCTTCTGATATCAACTAATAATTAAGTTATTCATCGCCAAACACAGTCAAGTGCCTTGGGTATAGGAGAAAAAAAAAAAACGCAGTCAAGGATTTCCTGTCCAAGCCCCCCGAAATTTTGCTAAGGGGAAGCGAAGGCCAAGTTTTAGGCTGCTTAATTTTTACTGAGCCTAGACCAGAATGGCCTATGTTCAACAAAGCCCCACATTTAATACATCGGATCAAACTTAGGTCAAATGGCCAACTCTTGGCCCAGACTAGGCTTTGTGATTAGTGAAGGTCGGCCCATTTGTGGGTGGTTGGACCATGACCATGACCATGCCTATGCGCTAGGAAAAAGCAGTTTATTATTCACTGTCGAGGTGACGGCCGGCACGGCCAGGGGTGCCGGGGCCATTGGTATACTGTGTTGTGTGACTTATAGGCAACTCTGGAAACTAAAGCACATAAATATGTTCTTTATTTGCGCATTCTCTAATCAAACAAGACCAAACAAGGGTGCCCGTACGATCATTAAAAAATGTTATCGTCTATCATAACGTACCAGTAAATGCGATCAGCGAAGCCCCTGTCCTATTCCTATTGGTAGTTAAGACAGAAATCTACCCAATGAGGCCGGTTTGATTTGAAATGGTCATGCAGACGAAGAGGATATAAGGCATGAACCAGTTAGTTCCTACGAAACATGACCCAAGTCAACAATCATCACCAGAATCGGCAAACAAGACTGAGTTGGCCTGTTGACAATATGCCCATTGACTTTCCCCCCTTGGAATGAGTTTACTCGAAAGTCGAAACGTTTCATTGTCAACGGTGGCGGAAGACAACGGGCGAGCAAGCCCCCATCTGTACTGTGGTTGAATCCATCGTCTCAACATTAATGTAGCCATTGACTTTCCCGACTTCCAGCGGAGCTGCAATTCCTTCAATTAACTTCATAATTCCTTAATTACGCATATGAATAAATATAAGAAATGCAATTCTCTGTTCATATTTTCAGTGAATTTTAGGTAACCATACAATACTAGCATTGCCACGTCATAAGTAGCTAGTAGTTCGGTGGATCCAACGGGTTTTTACCCTACTTTCTTTTGACATTTGAGTGTTAATTAAAATAAAATTACTATTTTACCCATTTTCTATATATGTTTCAGCAACTAGAGTGTAAACCTGATATTCTTTGGCAAGTTGATGGATATCTGCCACAAATAATTCAAGCGCCTCATGATTAATACAGCTGCCAGGATGACTAAAACAGTTTCGTCAACTCTTTGCAAGGGAGATTATTTCCTCCATCCCTATAAATGCTTGTACTAGTTTTTCCACTTCCATAGTAAGACACAGCTTTTTGTTCAAGACACAGTCCTTGCATACTAGCATTCATGTCCATCTCTGGAATCCAAGGCCTGCCTTTTGAGGTTACAGGTATGATTCATTTATATGATGCGCCGTATTCCTCGTTGCCATCCTTATCTTCTTAACACGTGTCCCACGCTGAGTTTAACTTACTTCGCAGTTGTTGGATGTTACAACTTGGAAGACAAGGAATGGATATCAAGACAGGATCCTTATGTCTGTCTTGAATATAGAAGTGCCAAGTACCGAACCAAAACCTGCACAGGTATTTATATATCTGTCTCCCTTGGCATCCAATCTGCTAATATATATGACAGCAACTGCACATTATCTTTTAAGTAAAGCTCCTAAATTAACAAATCTCATTTCTAACTAATTTGGTTAGATGGAGGTAAGAATCCTACCTTCCAAGAGAAGTTCATTTTCACACTTATTGAAGGCCTCTGGGAGTTGAATGTAGTGGTTTGGAACAGCAATACCCTCGTTGCTGATGATCTTATTGGCAGTGGAAGGTAAATTTCACTCTGTAGTTTTTATTGAAAGGAACAAACTAACTTCCTTTAAACTCTCTAGTTTAACTGAGTTCTTCTTGATTTGTTGTCTTGTTTCGCAGGATTCAACTCCACAAAGCCCTTTCCCAAGGTTTTGATGATTGCACCTGGCCACTTCAAAGCAAAACTGGCAGGTTAGTTATATAGAAGCTTGTATAATCTTTTATCGCCAAGACCCAGCCATTGTTTACAGCTCTGATAGATTTCTTTCGGTACAGGCATTCAGGAGAAGTAAGACTCATATTGCACTACTCTAACGCCACAGTAAGTTACCTAGTTTCCATATACTCGCACAACTCCATTAGCCTTACTGTTGGATACATACATAAATATATAGACCTGACCAAGTAACAATGGTTTCAATTGTAGCAACCTCCAAAATGCAAGGCAAAATTAGCTCCATCAATGCCAGAATATGCACCATCTGCTCCCTTCACCCAGGTCTCACCATATGGTCACGCACCAGCAGCAACTCCAGTTTCTTACCCGGCTACGTTGCCATACGCTGCCCCATCTCCTTACAAGTCATATCCTACTAGTACAGCAACACATCCGCCATCTCCACATGCTGGCTATTCTCCCCTGGCTCCTCCTACAGGTTATCCTCCACAAACATACCCACCTCCCCCCCAGGCCTCATCTTATTATCCATCAGGTACATTTTGTTTCTTCATTTAGTGTTTTCTCACAGTTCTGTTCGCTAGTAGTTATATATGCAATTCCTTTTTTAAGCTACTGTGTGATTAATGCATCCTAAATTCCTAAAGATCAAATATGCAAGATCTTGAAACTTTAGGCTTTGTGGGGTTTATGATTGCTGAGATCTGAATCTCATCCCATTATTATTCTCCAAATTTCCATGTTTTTCCGTTGCTTTATCTGAATTTTTTATTATTGCCACAGCTCCGGCCGGAATCTATCCTCCACCACCCTATTGAGCACTTTTGTCATTAATGTCCTGCAAGCAGAGAAAAGTCTACATATGAACAGAAGCTAAAACAATTCATGCTTGAAGCCACAAAGGCTTGGTAATAATTCTGATGTATGCGGAAAATTTTATTGCACTGGATGATCATATTTCCGTTTTTGAATCTGTATGTTGTTTTTTATATACTGCGAAATTGGTTTCTTGTAATGTACTCTGTTGTGCAATTGTGGATAATAAAAAGTGGTTTTCTCAAGTTGGTGGTATCTGTATTCAGCTTCCTGTTTCTCAAGTTGGTGGTATTATCGAGCATCGGAAATGAAATTATAGAACACTGCTGACCTATTAGTAGTGTGAGATGAATAGTGATCAAGCAATTTGACTTTTCCATTTAGACTGCCCAATATTAATATGAGTAAGCAATATGGCCAAGTTGATCAAGCTATCCCTGGAATGTTTTTGGTCATAACTCAGCCTTTCTGTTAGCCCAAATAATGTCCAATGAAGTGGTCAAACAAACCACAATTGCACACTTCAGCCCAAGTGTTTAAAGCTTACAATATGGAAGATTTGAAGCATAATTAAGAAATGAAATATCTACAAATACTCCAAAGGAAAAAGTTCTATGTGAAACAAAAAATATGTAATGTAGAATAAACATGATAAAACTCTTTATTATAATTTTGTACATCTATTCAACTTGTAAATGTGATTGACTTAGTGTTTACTCAATGGGCAGGGCGTAGGCATTAATATTCTGCTTTTGTTTAATTAAAACAAGTCTCTCTAATTTACTTATAATTATTACAACAGCAGCTAGGAAACCTAGGGCCCTGCTTTTCCTAAAATAAAAAATTGAGCCTTTGATCTTTTTCCACAAGCTAATGGAGGGAAGCACTCAAATAACATTGGTTTTCACACCTGCTCTGCCCTGTTTCGTAATTAAAAAGCAAGGCCTTTAGGCCCGTAGAAGAAACAGAGAGCAGAGACAGCAGAACAACAGACAAGAGGAAAATGGATTACCTAGGAATCGATTTTAGCTGCGCACTTGGATCTATCAAAAACGGCAATTTCCCTCCGAAGGACTGTTTGCTTCCTCTCATCTCCAAGCTCCTCGGCTACGCCATCGTCGCCGCTTCCACCACCGTCAAACTCCCTCAGGTTTTCTATCTCTCTCTCTCTTTAGTAAACCACAATTTAACTTAATTAGCCCTTTGGGTTTTTTCTTTTCTTTTCAAGGATCAAATTTTTTTATTATTAATTCATCTTTCCTCGCTGATCCCAGATATTAAATACCGCATTCCAAAGTTTTTGATTGGTAAATTTAACCAGATGGTTTAGTTTCCTGGTAAAGCAATGAATTTTACGCAGATACGAGAGCAATTAATGAACTTTCATGTGATTTCTCTACTGAGATCCATTTATCTCTTTTCTTATAAATGTGTTACTTGATCTTTTCAACTTTGTCATAATGCTATTATTGTTGTAACCATTGCAGATATTAAAAATTTTGAAACATAGAAGTGTTAGAGGGCTTAGTGTTGTAGCCTTTGAGCTTGAAGTAGTTGGTTATACCATTGCTTTGGCATATTGCCTTCATAAAGGACTACCCTTTTCAGCTTTTGGAGAGTTGGCATTTCTTTTGATCCAAGGTAAGCCTAGCAATTTTTGTTTTTCTGTGATTTCGCATGTTACTACAAGTTCTTTCTTGTGGGGTATAAGGATCCATGAAATCATGCTGAGCTCTCCAAAAATATGTTGGAGAGTGCATGTTTGTTTATTTGACTGTCAGCTAGGTGTGATGTGCTATTTGATCCTTGCTGAAGGAAATTGTTTTAGTCGGTCTTGTTATGCAGGATTGCATGCATTAGAATTAACTATTTCTAGGTTGGCCTATAAGCAGGATTATGAACCGGCATTCTTACCCAAACCTGAATTTTGGACTGAAAACAATTTATACAAATTTAAGCCATTGAAAACTTGATTTGTTTTGTATGATATGCATATTCATCTCTTGTAATCATGAGCCAATTTCGTGTTGCCTTTGCTCCTTTCCCATTTCCTTTGCTGCTTTATGTTATATGGTCCATGTGCACACATGCATGAGTGTGTATGTGGTTGCATGTTTGCTACATAAATGAGAAGAAGCAGAATTTAGAAATTAATATACATTATATTGTGCATGTGTGATAATCAAAACCAACCTGTATAGTTTCCAGAGGTGGTTAATCCTCCTGGTTCTGGAATGTGAAGCAAACCTCATATCTTCACAGACCAACTTCCTTGTTCATCTTCTGGTTGGTTTAGGGTTTTCACTTTCATACAATTATTGTTTCATATTTTGAAAAACTGATATTGCATCCTTAAATTTCTGACATATCTTTTCCTCTGTTACAGCACTAATTTTAGTTGCTATAATCTACTACTTTTCACAACCTGTGGGTATCTCAACATGGATCAGGGCATTACTGTATCCTGCTTGCTTTCTCGGTTATGTTTTCCTTTTTTCTTTCGGTTTTTTGGAGTTTGCATTTTAACTTGTGATCTGCAGGAAGGTGAGAAATATGTATATGTTTCCTTAACATGATGTTATTCCAGATATTGTGCTGTAGCACCAACAGTCTTAGCTGGTCAAATTGATCCCATTCTTTTTGAAGCTCTATATGTAAGTAGCAACTTTCACCGTCCATTCTGTATGTAGAAAATATTGTCACGTGCATACTGTCTTCCTTACTTCTATGTTTCCTTTACCTTGTTTCTACATGCGGTTATGAAGATGGTATTACAATCAGATGTCTGTGACCTAATTTTTGGAAGCTTAATTTTTCAATCATAGAGTTTTTATATGACATATTATTTTGACGTGGACATGACCTGCTACAGGCATCCCAGCATGCAATATTTTTCCTTGCCAGGGTCCCTCAGATATGGAAGAACTTTTCTGTAAGTATAACTCGTGTTCCACACAAATTTTCAATTCTGCTCTTAAACTGTAAAAATTTATTAATTCGAGTTTCATATAATTTATTAACCAGCATTTTGGTTTTCAAAATTGCTATGGTTTCAGCAATTCTGTTATTAATTAAAGGGTAGGAAGTTGTAAACCCTTTTCATATCTATATTTTACAACCACCTTTAGATCTGTTTAACAAGATGATTCCTATCTTTCCTGTTTGTACTTGTGCATGCATGTGTGCCCATTGGAGGGAGATGTTATTTTGTAACCCTTAAATTCTGTAAATATTGTAATGTGTACAAACTCAAAGGTTGCGTTTGGTATATTGTTGGGAATGTGATTGTTGAGAATATAACTTTGCTGCGTTTGGTATAATAAGAGAAAATGATATTTGCAGAGAATGTGATTGCTGAGAGGATTACATTGTTGTATTTGGTTTGTAAGTATTTCATTGGGAATGTAATATAAATTAACAAAATTAGCCTTATATATAAAAGATATATAAGTTGAATAAATTTATAATTTTTAATATAAAATTTGACTTTTCAACTTTAAGTAATTAAAATAATAAAAAATAAAAAATAATATAATATTTTTATATTAAATATTTAAATATTAAAATATATAAAATTACTAAATATTTATTTTCACTTTAAACTTAAAAAAATTAAAAATAAAAAATATTATTCAAAGATGAATCTATTGATAGATAAAAAATTTTACCGCTAGATCACATTATGTATCGATAGATAAATAGTTGGTGTCAAAAGTTTAAATGTAATCTATCCATAGATGTTATCATTTATCGATAGATATTCAATTTTAAACTTCCTGGCGCTTTCTTTCTCTCATAACCGCGACACCAAACATCTTTCTCTCTCAAATCCTCTTAATTTCTTAAATATTTATTTTTAATAAATTAGTTAAATTTAAATAATTAAATTATTTTATATCACTTTTTTTTTTTCTTTCATTTTTTCCTCTTATTTCTTCCTGCACTCATTGTCCTTCCAATGGGCTTTTCTTTTTATTTTCTTTTTTCTCTCCTTCCTTGTTGCTCTATGGTGATGGACTATTCTTCTTCCTTCCTCCTTCCTCTTTGTTGATGGGCTGTTCTTCTTTTCTTTTTCTCCCCTTTTTCCTTGCTCGCATCAGCAGATTCAAATGGCGCTCCTCTTTCCTCCAAAGAGTTCAACTATTGGGGTTTGCTGGTGAGCAGCTAGGGTTCTACAGTTGGCAACTAGAAGAAGAAGGAAAAGAAGAAGAGGGGTGAATAGAAGAAGATCGGGTAGACAATTTGGGGAGAAAAAATATGTAACTTTTCCTTTGTAAAGGGAAAGTTACTTTCCCTCCGTGAGGGAAGGGAATGACATTGCCTTCCTTCACTGCAATGATATTACAATGGAATCACCTTACCAACCACTTTCCCTAAACCAAACATTGTAAAGTAATTACACCTAATTAAATTATAGGAAATCTCCTTCACTTGCACTAACCAAATGCACCCATAGTCTCTAGCTGTGATTTTACTTGCATTGATCTACTGCTGTTATGGTAGAAAAGTACCGTGTAGGATGGTGGGAGGCCATCAATACTTACTGTTTGATTGCACAGTTGCATCAAGTGATAAAGAAAAGGTTCTTTTTTTTTTCTTTCCTTTGATAAAAGGAGATCATAGCTAGTTATTACCACACCAAGTAGAATAAAGATGCTCCTTTCTTTCGTAGATTCAGCAACTTCTTTAACCAAATAAATCTATCTAGTAAATTGCTTTATTTAACTAGATAGATAACTAATTTTCTTGGGGGGAACTTAGATGGCTTAACGATGGTCTGGTCAGTTTCCACAAGATGATAATGGGTTAATCTGTTTGTTCTGCTTACTGTCTTATTGGCATGTCCTTCTTCTGTGATTTTTTTATTTATATGCAAATCTAATTTGCTTTTAGCTAATTCTCTAATGCTGTGAATGAACATTATTTTTGAGCAGAATAAAAGCACTGGGGAGCTCAGCTTCTTAACATGCTTAATGAATTCTGGTGGCTCCCTTGGTAAGTACATATTGTTTATAGAACTATAGTGCATCTGCTGAAAGAGGTAGTGTTGATCTGTGCCAATGGAGAGGCAGACGCTAAGAAAGTTCGTTTGATGGTTTTCTCTTGCAGTGAGAGTATTTACCAGCATCCAGGAAAAAGCACCAACGAGTGGTATCCTTTTTTTTTTTTTTCCTTTTAAGTTTTGATTATTTTAACCTATCTATTCAATGCGTATGGTGAAAACTGAAGTTATAACCTTTTTTTAAAAAAAAAATAGGAAAAAGATAGTTTCATCTTTCTAAAACTGTTATTTAGATTTATCTACCAACCATCACTTCTAATTTCTTCTTTATCTGTTTCTTTTCAGAAGCAATCTGTTTCTTTCCAAAGCCTTTTCTTTTCCTTTTTCGCAGAAAATAGGTTCTGACAGTTGCGAAGTCCTTTTACTATATAAACTCATAACTAAACATGCTATATTATGAAAAACTGCATGCACACTGTTGTTCTCTGAACCGTTTCTATTTCCCTTGTGAGCTTTTATGAGCTAGGTTTTTGCTTCTTTGTCATATGTGAAGATTATGCAATTTGCTGTCCTTGACTCCTTTTAAGTTATTCTGGGCTCTGTACTTGGTATCCTGACAAATGGCACAATCCTGAGTCAAATTATTATATATCAAAAGCCACAAGTTCAGAAGGAGAAGAAAGTGAAGTAAAAGGATAGCATGTTGTAGCCAAGACTATGGTTCAGTAAAAGGTTGAGATGGTGCAGTTGGTAGGTAAACAAAGTGTTTCAAGGAGAAGCAAAGTATCCCTCTTGGTGTGATCATTGGATGTATTGAAGTTTCAATTGATGTTACCAACGCTATGAATTTGATAGTCTTCAAGATGCACTTGAGAATTTAGTGAAATCAATTTGCACACCCTTTTCTCTCTTATTTTTTTCTTGTTTTTTTTGGTATTTTTGAATGAGATTCTTAATATTTAATATGCTTCTCTTTTTTATCTTTTATATTTTGTTGCGTCATCCTGCTTGTATGAATGATGTATGTCACTGTAAATCGGGTACGCATTCATTTCTATGGATCTGGATCTTCACTGTGTCTCATCAGACGAACGGAACGGGAATCTTTGGATGACTGGCGACGGTCTACGGTTTATGCCTAGGTGCGTTCATTAGTTTTAGTTAGCGGTCAAGCATACAATATAGACTGGCTTTGTCGTGTTATCTCCATCTTTTTAGATGATACGTATGCATGCAAGCAACAATGCTTTTTCATTCACTCGAGAACATGTTCCGTCGGGAAGAAAATGGTTAGATAAAAAGTCAAGTTTAGACCGCATGAATTGCTTGATTAGATAAATAATGCTCTTGGAAATATTAGGAATTCCACTATTCCAGATATCAATATCATTCAACCGAGACATTAAAAGCTTTACATAATGTCAACCTTTCCGGTTGCTTTCAAAAGCAAAGCCACCACTCTCCGGAACGTGAGGGATGAGACTTTCAGCTCCAATTTAAACCGGTCCTGACTGCCAGGTTTTGGAATTTTGTTTCTTCTGTGATGGATACGAATTCAAAAGATGACAACAACTCAAGATTTGGAATTACGAGGCGGTGGGCATGCCAACTCTTCTCATTGCAAGACTTGTAGACCTAAAGCCCCTCTACTACCCGGACAAACTTTTTCTTCAACACTCAAATCCTAGCTTCAAATTTTCTTCCTAACTAAAATTCCCGCCTACCCTAAACGCCCAAGTTGATACTTGTGGGGCACTGAATCTTTTTAAACACCCACTTCCTAGAACCAGAGCATGCCTGTCCCTGGAACCAAATGGTCATCATCAGATACAGTTAGCACACTATTTATCATGGAGAAAACAAAAGAAAACCGGGAGTCTGCTTTGAAACACACCAGGCAAATCTTCATATAATGTTATCAGAGTTTCTCCAATCACATTTCATAAATTTCCAACCCAATCTCTATTCACAGACTTCAACACTCACAAGCAATATATTATACGTTTTAAGGGACTAAAGGATGCATGTAATGTATTCACCCATGCACTAAGAGATTCATATACCTAGAAGGATATATAATTAGTTTCCAACTGAATATATTATATTGTTCTCATATATCCTGCTGCAACCTGAAGGGTAATGTAGACTATACCTTGGAGAAAATCGACGTTATTGGCAACACCAAAATAAGTTTAAAATTTTTACAATCTAGTTATGGGTGGCATGCTATGTACTCAAATTTAGCTATAATAAAATTAACTAAGACAAATGGATGACTAGGGTAAATGTACCTCACAACTGGTTGTGGCAAACACCAACAAAACTACAGGAGCACCATGTAAAGAGTTGTGGACCTCATGAAATCTTACTCAGTTGTGAGGCGATCAACCAAGCAGTAGGCCTCAAAAGTCTTAGCCCTCCCACCTGATTAAATTGGAGCTTTCCTGATGGCATCTGTACAATATACCTAATTGCATTTTTCCATTGATCATGATGTGTTTTCTCGCTTTACCTCATGTGAGACGACAAGATATAATATGACCCAGACAAGGTGATAATCATTGAAATATTTCCAGGCTAGAGAAGAAGCACAGCTAAAACCAGAAATTGTCAAAAATTTCGGAAACCTGTTTATGTGTCCACATCAATAAAAACAAAATATTAATTCCCTGCATCTCTCCTAGGATTGATAAAGAAAGAAAGAGCAACCACATGATGCATATGTAATTTGGCAGAGTGCAAGTATATGATGCAAATGCAATTTGGTAACAGTTCCTCACTTTTAACTACTTTTTTCCATGTGCATATACTTAAATGTGAGAAGAAATTAATTAACCACAAATAGGTATTAGTTAATGAGTAGAGTGTATTACATGCCAGCTAACTTTTCAAAAAAACAAAAAAAGAGATAACACATGACAGCATTTGCCATCATTTCACATTTCCTCATTCTCATAATGTATCATATTATGTCCTCAATAAATTTCCTAATGCAGTTCCCAACCAATAAAACTACTTAACATTGCAGATCAGTATGTCGTAGCAAAATAAAATCAAGCAGAAGCATCACAAACCATAAAAAAATGGCCCATAAAGAAACAAAGCAATAAATAATAGTCATTCACATAGAAATTACAAAAACATTCATCAGAGAATTTACTATTGCCATACAACAATAGCATTGATAAAATCTACCTATCATATCTTTTCGCATCAGAAGACTACATTTTCCAAAGAATCAAAATGTCCATGTTTGAAGCCCAGCTTTTACTTGAATAAAAATGCAAATTGCAAATCAAAATGTCCAACTTGGTTCTAACTTCTGACTTCTACCTTTAGTCATGTTCGAAACCCTCTTCTATCTTTGGTCAGCAACAGACGATATATTGACTGGACAACAGAAAACTTCTATGATTGTTTCCTCGTATTCAACAATTTGATGCTGAAAATTATCCAATCAAGTAGGTCCCAACAAAAATACATCTCCTACATAATACAACAAATAGCACTTGGGCATATGTCTATCATGCACTCATACCCGATAAACATCAAAAGAGTCAGAAGCTAATAACACAAAGATCCAACTAAATATATCAGGGTGTCTTTCTTTCAAATTCCATTTAGGATAATTATACTTGCAACAAATAAAATAGGAAAAAATCGCCGTCGAGAGTTGGCTAAATAAAGAAACGAAGAATTAGAAACTGAATGAACAGTAATATAGGAAGATTTAAGAGAAACTATCACTTTTGAAGGTAAAGATTACTCAAAAGGCATCACAGCACAACATATTGAATTAAATACACAAACAACAGAATCGGATACTACAACAAAACAATGTAAACAGTTAAGACAAGAGTGCTTTTTTTCCTTCTTTTTCATTGCAGCTTCGCCTCTTCCATCCAAATTAACTCCGAGAACTGCCATTACTGCTTGCCAACCTCTCAAAGTGCAAGCCACTAAACTCCTCCACTCAAAAGTCCTAACAACTTGAACGATGTTGATCGACCCGTGCTGCTAGAAGCAATACTAGGGGCTCCCATTTGAGCAGCCATCAAGTGGGAAACTCAACTCCATTATCTTGTGCCCCACATCGCTGGCACTTGCATCTAAATGTTCCCTGTATCCAAATTAACCGCCAGCGATCCTCTATTTGCTCTTAACCAATCTGCCCCCTCAGAAGTTACTCCTCTACATTTCTTCACCTTCACTTTAACCAAGTTAGGGCAACCACTAGCAAGCGCTTCCATTCCATGATCCGAAACAGGGCAACTCTTAATACAAAGCTTCTTTAAAGCTATACATTTCACAGCAATACACGAAATCTCCGCATCACCAACTGTATCACTACCGCATAGAGCTAACCGTTCCAAATTCTGACAATTCGTAGCTAAAATTTCCAAACTCAGCTTTGTCGGATTAACACCAATAAGAACTAGTTCTTGTAAATTAGGGCAAGATTTGGCGACAGCGATTAATCCTTCATCGCCTATTCGATTCGCTTTCCATCCATCAATGTGAAGCTTTCTTAACAATTTACATTTCTCCGCAACAGCTGCGAGTCCTACGTTGGTACACTCGGGAGTCTTAACAAGGTGAAGAATTTCTAAGTTTAAACAGTTGGATATCGCCACGAGACCGACATCGCTGACTTGGATCCGCTCCATATGGATCTCTACCATACCTGTGACGTGATCTACTATGAGAGGGAAAGCTTATCCCAATCACCAGAGCATCTAAAAAGTTTTAAAGATTTCAGATTCTTTGCACCAACAATTAGCGGACCAAAGCACTGTCCATTATAAAGCTCTTTTAAGCAAATTGTTTTCAACGACGCCGCCGCCACCCCCGGCCCTATCGGCTCAGCTGCAGCTCCTTCCGTGATACCGCGAAGTCGTTTCACAGAGAGTTCCTCGAGAGCTGGACAGTTGTCGAGCACGGCGTTCATGCCTTTAGCTCCGAAAGTGCAAGATCCACACGAGAGCTTCTTCAAGCCCGTGCAGTTTTTAGCAAAGGCCGCCATACCTGCATCGGTCAAGTTACGGCAGGTTCGGAGCTTAAGGCGAGTCAAGTTCCGGCAACCCTCAGAGATAAGGGCAAGCGCTTCGTCGCCTATGCTAACAGATCTCCGGTCACATTTCAGAGCCAGTTTCGTTACGGCGTCGAAGCGAGAGAATAAGGAGCCAACCAGAGGGTGCAGATCTGATTGGGCGTTGAGGGAAAGCCGATGACGGCTCTGTCCTTCAATCCTTAACCACCTCCGGCAAACGAGAGAGCATCGTTTCCGGTCACCAGGACTAAGAGACTGAAAAATGCAAGCCAAGCACTCGTCGGGTAGATCCGAGATGAAATCCGATAGTCCATCTATGCTTCTTCGATCAAGATCTTCAGCTTCCTCAGCTTGCATCGGGCAGATCAGAGCCGTTGATTTCGATTTTGACCGTTGGCTATGGTAGCAATCTCGACGGCTCGTGAGTTTCGCCGTCGAAGCTGATTGGCCCATCCACGACAACTAACTAACCCAAAGAAGAAGAAAATGAAAGAAGAAATAAAAAGAAAAATGAAAAACGAAACTGCCACAGGGTTATTATCCTGGGTAAGACCGTCGAGGAATACTAAGGGAGAGGTAAACTCAGGAGCATGTTTCAGGCTCTTCTTCTGTTTTGTTCTTCTTGGAAATGTCCAGACGACGGACTTCAAAATCGGATTTCATTTGGCTTTTCTCGTACTTTGTTTGCTTTCGTCTTTCTTTCTCTGAACAAAATAGTCTTCCTCCACTCGTAAGTTTTCATACCCCGTTCCCATCCCCATACTAGTTTTTTTGAGCCTACCCTTGATACTTCCTTCTTGATGGGGTCAAAGTCAAAGAAAAAAAGATCAAAAATCTTGAGATCAAAAAGAAGATGATTCCAAGGATAAACAAAATTAGTATGAGATTGGGCACAAGGGATGGCTTCTTCGGAGCATTATCTTTAATATTTAATTTTTGCTTTCCTTAGAGTGTAGACAATTAGTTTTTCTTTCTGGCTTTGTACACGAATCTTCGTGTATCGTCCGAGTGGGTGTTAGGGAAGGCTTTTATATTGAGAATATTAATCAAGGCCTGCAATTGAATAAATTGCTGCTTTTTCTGAATATTGGAAAAGTTGTAATGTCAAAGTTTATCTTCAGATTCTAACAGTAACATTTATTTATGTTTGTGTACTTTTCTTCAACACTTTTGTGATCCATTAATCTCTATTACATTTAACGTTACTGACTTATAAATTAATGATTAAATTTCATAAAAAATTAAGAATGATAAATATATTTCATCAAAGAAACAATAATTTTTTTATTTAATCGGCCAAAATGGCCCCCAGTTTAATGGGAAATGTTACAAATGTACTCAACAATTTTAAAAACTGCCATCCATATCCCTTGACTAGCCAATCTAAAAGCGCCAGCTGTTAGCCTCTCAGCCCCCAAATCAGTTACAGTAACTATTATACCTTACCTTAATAAAATAAATAAATATTGTATAGAAGATTTTGAGAGCCGTGTGTATGTCTATCACTACTAAATTTGAGAGCAAAAAGACAAAGAATATCCAAACATTTTCATGTCACTCAATAAAAAATATATAATAATTGTAAGTTCAATTTGCGAATGAGATTCTTGTTTTCAAATGAATTATAATGAATAATTACAGGTAAAATCTAGTTAATGATAAATTTTGGAAGAGAATTTTCAATAATACATTATATTATCAAATCAAAAATAAAAAAAAAGATGGAAAAAGAAAATGAAGCAGTTAGTATATCTTTTCATGATTGGGTTATCTACAAGAAAATTTAAAATTCAAACTGAGGGACAAAAATGCTATGTAAAGTGGGATGCAGATGACCTGCCAGCCATTTTCGAAATGATTGAAAATGTATTGCTAGTAGTAGTAGTAGTGTATTCAAAATTTATTTTAGATCTTTGATAATTAATTACATTTAAAAAGTTGCTATTGTTTGAATTCCTTGAATAATTGAAAATATCAATCACCCCCTTGCTTCTATTTTTAATCAATCAATGGATTGCAATTCAAAATGCAAGCGTATAAGTTGATAGTTTTAGTAAACACACGATTCAATAAACAATTTGTGGAACAATACTATTACTCATTCCTGATTTTGAGTTACCTCTCAACTCCACACTGTTTTCATCGTTCAATAATTATTAATGACAATGATGGCATGGGGGCTAACATGATATTATTATTTCCATTTTTTGTGTTACAATCGAGCATCAGTCATTATAATCTAAAATTTTCGTAGTATATATTTCACTATATTATCCATATACAATGAATAAATTATCTTAGTTATGTTATGCAATGAGGTAAAAAATTATTTAGTTTGAAAATTAAACGTATAAAAGAGAAAGAAGCTATTTTCATGTACAATTTTGTAAGATTTCTCAAATCTTCAACATGCATTTTGAATTCGTCCAAGAACAAACCAAAAGCACTTACTCCATTTCCTATCAATAATTGTAGGGTGATTGGATGGGCACACATTTTGAAATTTAAGAATTTGAAAACTACTTTCCAACCCATTAGGAAAAACCATGCCCAACACAACCAAGCTAAAGCGAATACATCGCCCAGCCCAACAACCCTCCAAAGTCCACACTCAGGTAAATTAATTTCAGGCATTGCAATTACTCAAAATTCCATTCCCAACGTGGCCCACATCATTTAAAACCGCGCCGTTTCGACTCGATCCCTTCCAAAACCGACCAGTAAAGTGATCCTCAGTTCCTAGACCACACTTCTTCACTCAGAAAGGCTTTTTTCTCTCATGGCCGCTCTTCTGCTTCTTAAAGGCTTTCCGCTGCTCCGGCTTCGGCTGCAACACTATAACCCACTCGCTGCTGGGCTCCTATCGGCACCGCGGCGTCCTTGGTGCACCACCGCAGAGTCGGCTGGACACGAAGAGGAGGTATCCTCTGCGGAGAAGAGTAGTACGGTGCTGAGCGTGACGGACCCGCCCAAGTACCATAGATGGGGTGATCCTGATTACAGGAAATGGAAGGATAAAGAGGAAGAGATTCTTCGAGATATCGAGCCTATCATTTCGCTCACTAAAGAGATTCTTCACTCTGATAGGTCAGTCTTTGAGCCCTAGCCCTACTCCTTTTATTTATTCAAGGTCCATTTACTTTGACATTTGAATATTTACTAGTAATATGAGTCGTTTTTTATGGAACAATTATGTTTGAATTAGTGTTGCGCTTTAGCTCAAATAAAAAAAAAAGATAAAAAGCTAGTAGTAAAAGCAACTTTCATTTCTAAAGACCTAAAGTGGAGTAGCCGCATATCCATGTTCGTGTTAACTTGAATTTCTAGCAAATTTCATAATGAATGAAATATATCAGTTATGTTGTTTATGATGAGAGAGATTGTTGCTTTAGTTCATTGTTATTGACTAGTAGTTTCAATTTAAGTTCTGACATTGTTCAAAGGCTTGTAGGTTAGGATTGCTTCATAAACTCATGTATGAGTCTTAGAGAAGATAAGGTGTTACGCTTTAAGTTGAAAGGTTTCTGTTAGTAAGGAAATTTGTATTCCGAGTCCTTTGCTGATATGAGAGGAATGAAGCCCTGCATTTGTACTTTTGCATGATCAAGCTTGGCATGGTTCTATTGCTGTTTCCTTTTTCCCATTACTGTGGGAGCTTTTTTTTAATCTTTTGTGATAAAATCTTCTAATGCTTTACAATTTTGTTTAAATATGGTAACTTATGATTCCAAAGTATGATTTTTATTGTCACTTGCTTCAATGAGAATTATACTTGCCAATCCTATTTAAAAGAAGTTGTTCTGGTAGGAATGCAGAGTCTAGTGGTGTTAATCAAAGTGTACTTAAATGTTGCCTCATCATCTTGCGTCTCCCTTGAAAACCCTGTCACTAACATCCCATAATTATCCCACATTAGCTTCTCTTATCAAGGAAATTTTCTATTTATGAATTTCCAAAATTGTTAATAGCTCATGTATATATTAAAAATAAAACATAGAAATACGGGATACATGAAGTTCCACTATTTACCCAAATTAGTAATAGAGAGAAAGAAAAATGTAAAAGAAGTGTTTTATCAATTTGCAAGATCTAAGTAGTTACACTGGAGCTGCAGATATTTTTGCACATCTTATGACACTGTTTTGAGTTTTTGGTGAAAAATATTCTCCAAAATAGTGAGCTAACTACATTTATTGAAATTACGAATAAAATTAAGACCATAGAACCTATGATTTATACCTCTGATAGAAAATGAAGCTAACAGATAACTTGGAGATGCTTTATAGTCAGCTTATCATTATGATTGTTCCTTCTATTTATTTTTCCTACCATTAGGTATATGGATGGTGAACGTTTAACCGTTGAAGACGAGGAAACTGTGGTAGAGAAGCTTCTTTCTCATCATCCACATTCTGAAGATAAAATTGGATGTGGACTTGACTCTATTATGGTGAGTTTTTGTTGCCATTCTTTTGGGGTTTTCAAGTGTTTTGGTTGAGTTGCTATAGAATCAAACATGTGTTATGGCTGCAGTTTACAGTCATTCCATGGTAAGTCTGCTTTGTGGACCAATTTAGAAGCTGCATATGTGGAGAATATCTAATATAAACTAAAAATATTGAAGATGATTCAAAATTTTGAGTTCCTCTACTTGCATTGGCTCTGAATTTACTTGTATGACTAAATCTATTACAAGGATAAGTAGTATTTTTTGTCCCTCGAAGTTCAATTGTTGTTTTCTAATTTGTGGCTCATTGATCCATTAATGATCTTGTTTTACTTAGGATTTGCTTAGTTAATGCTTTTACTTTTTTCTATTTGCCTTTTGTTTGCTATTCACTTTTTATTGTGGCTTCATTTTTTTTTTTCAAAAAAACAAGAAGTTATGAAACAAATGGAGCCTTAATCTTTTTTCTTTTATAATTGCTGTGATATCCTGCAAACTATGTGATGTATGTGGAGAACTTGACTTTACATGCAATGCATTAGTTCTACCATGTTTTGGGCCTAGGGTATCTCAACTAAGTTTTGAAATTTTTGGTTTTGCAAATTGAGAAACATGTGTTTTCGGCCTTCTTGCTCTGGTGAGTGGTGAATAGATGCATTGTGTATTATTCGCATACTTTTGCGTTATGACTTCTGTCCTTCAGGCATTTGGCTTTTGACTGCTTATTACATAATTCATACTCAAGCAAGAAGTTTAATCCATTTTGCTTTTCTTTTGCTTGTCCACAAAGTTGGCATTAACTTGTGGAGAGTAAGGATAGTTGTAGAAATATTCATTTATGCCTGGATGATCATAGACCTTAAGGATCGGAAGAAGGAATTTTTTTTTACAAGGTTGCATGCTTAGTAAAATGACATTTACCTGACAATATCTGGAAAAGTTATATTTCTTGTTTGCAAATGTTTTGAGGCTAAAACTAAAAAATAAAAGTTTCAAAGCGGATGCACATGTACATAGAAGCATATGCAATGGTGGTTTTTGTTGGTCCCCGTTGGAGTACTAGAAGGGAGTCAATAGCACTAAAAATTTTAAGGTTAGCACTTTTGAGCTTGTGCAGCTAGAGAAAGGAAGATTTAGAACTTGTTAGAATTAAAAGACACCAAGTAAGGAAGGGTAGAGAGATTTTGACTCAAGCTTTAATCTCTTACATTATACTTTAGAATGCTTTTCACTCTAGTTTCTGAAGAAAAGAAAAAGAAGCACAACTGATCACCTTTACAGACTCGAAAGATTACAATCAAGGTCAAACACTTTTTCAAAAATAGAAATGAAGAACAAGTGTTTTTAGTGAAAGTTCTTTGACTTTTTGCTCAAAATGGCTTTTGGTGCTTCACCCTCTTGTTTCTTTGACTGTTAGAACTTCCTTTTATACTTGGGAAGACAAATTTTGCTGTTCAAAACAAATTCTAGCTGTTAGGAACAACTTTAATACCATTCTAGCCGATATTTTGTCCTCTAGTGTTTAAATTCAAATAGGTAGATTGAGTTTGGCTAACTAGTTGCGGACAAGCTCTAACCGATTACAGCTTCTTTTTCTTGCACTGTCTTGCAGTTATGTGCACTGTGTTAACCAGTTAGAGAAGGCTTTAACCGATTAAAAATTTTCTATTTTCATTTTTCTCCATACAGCAGTATTCCTTAAATTGGTTAGCTCTTCCTTTATCTAGTTGAGTCTTCACTTCCTTCAACCTTAATTGAATAAAATCAACTTTGATCAATTATAAAATATTTGAATTTTGAATTTCTTCATTTTGGCTCCCTTGAATGGTCAACCTTTCTTACAAATTTGATTTTAGAGCTTGAAGGTACTAAGATCTTGTGCTTTAACCGATTAGCCCAATTCCTTAATCGATTAGCATGTTTCTGTTTTCAACTTCCAACACCTTCTTAATCAGTTAAGTCTAGTGCTAATTGATTACAACTTTATGGTCTTGCTTTTACCCAATGCCCAGTTATGCCTTAATTGATTAAGGTTCTATGTTAATCAGTTATTAAAGTTATATCTGCACTAATCATTTTCTTCTTTTTTTTCTTTAACTGATTAACTTTTAATAAAATTAAGAATCTTAACTTGCCTTTAATTAATAAATTTGTTAGGAGAATTAAACTATATCCTTCACACTTAAGTAATAAAGTTAGATATTAATAAATAAGGAATGTTTTGTTATTATCCAAAAGATTTGGAGTCAACAGTTTTGTTTATTGTTCTTCCATTTCAAAGAAGCTTCCCAGCATTTTTGAGACAAACACTTGGTTTTAGGGTGTTAATTATTTCACATATTAACACTCTGCCCCTATTTATATCATGCACCTTAATTAGCTAGTTAATTTCATTACATGCTTCTTTCTCTTTCTCTCTCTCAATTTTGCCTAAAGGAGCAATTTCAAAATAGAGGAAGAAATCTTTCTAATTCTAATTATAAGGTACAGATACGGTCCTTTATGAAGGGCTCAATAAGGCTGAGCTTATCTATGTAGAGTTTTGAGTGACCTTAGCAAAGCATACTAATTAGGTTGCTCTTGTCACGCTCATATGTTTAAGAACTACACATTTTACTAAAACCATACAAATTACGTTGCTCAAACTTTCCCATGGTTAGAAATTTTACTAGCACCCAAATCTTTTCAGCTTGAATGGATGCCATTTGGTCTTACTTCAATCAGCATCCCTTATGTGCTTGTCCTGAAATTTTTATCAATGATTTAAATTACTTAGTTTGTTTCCTTATATCAAGTTTTGGGATTTGCTCATATCTGAATTTTCTTTAATTTCCTTTTTTCTTTATTCTTTTGCTGTTAATGTCGTCCAAGAGAGGCATGTATGTTTGTCTGTCCTTGTGTTTGTATGCAGTTGTTGTGCACATAGATCAACATGTAACCTTTTGACTGATGTTATTCTTACCTCTATTATTGTGACATGGAATCAACTTTTTTAATCTGCCTGCTAATTTGTTATCTATTGCTGATCAAACTGAATACTGTTTTATTGTTCAGTAGCTATTGTGGTTGGATGCAACTGAGCTAGCACATTGTTGCCTTCAATTTGTAGATCGCTATATTCTCTGAGATGTTTTTGGCATAAATTTGTATTGGCTTTTGAGAACAAACTAATAATGTGGTTTATCTCCATCATTGAAGGTTGATCGGCATCCACAATTTAGACACTCAAGGTGTCTCTTTGTTGTTAGAACTGATGGTGGATGGATAGATTTCTCATACCAAAAGTGTCTCCGAGCATACATTCGAGATAAGTATCCATCCCATGCAGAAAGATTTATTAGAGAACATTTTAAACGTGGTAGTGGCTAAAATGTGAAAAGTTAACTTTAATATCAGTGTTCAACTACGATTTTAGTGTCACTGCAGATTTTTAAATATTCTTTTTGGGTAGAGAGATTGTCTAATTGTGTCAGTGACCGATATATAGCCTTGATCTACAATTGTCAATGAAGTAGATGATTCTTGACTGGCGCTTTATGTTTGTTTATAAACGAGGACAAGGAAAATGATTCAAATGAACCTCACTTTGTTGAGTTGCATCTATATCCTTTTCGGTTGGCCTTGTCTATCTTTGTTTATGTTGTAGGAACAAGCTTTTCTTGAGAGCCTTAAGTCCGGGCTTTTATATAAAGTTATTTTCAAAATCACTTTATTGTAGGTCCAGAACTTGTCTCGAGAGCTTGTTAGACAACAGAATGGTCTAATTCCTCTCGAAGAACTTTCTGGTATCTTTGAAGGTTGAACGCCTAGAGTACATGTTAGAAGAAAAGGAGTGTGAACAAGCAATCAGTATTAAACGCTTCTAGCCACAGTTGTAGCAGTTTAAATGCCATAATAGCAGTCAACGTGCATCATTCACCATAGCTGTCGGAGAACTGAGGCGTTGTTCCTGCAAGCTTTTATCCCTGATGAGAATACATTATCGAGTAGTCTAGTATCCACTTCTCCATCTTTGGAGGTGGAAGAATGATGAATTTGTTTCACCTTCACCATAGGTCTAGCGACTGTTTTCTCTGATGGGTCACATCAGATGGTAACAAAGGGTCCTCGATGCTCAATACAATTGGCATAAAAGAAGAGATGTTTGAAACCACCTTGCCCCACGTCACTGGTGGTGTGAATAAATGATCCAACGTGTGACGGGCCAGTGAGTGCAAGTGGCCTCTTCACCAAGGACCAATTTCGACTTCCTATAAATTAATAATTGAGAAGTTTGATCTTCTTACTGGTGATGGTGGCACAGCCACCAAAAATTCTTTGAAGTGGTTGAAGGCTTGAAACTGGGCTTTGCCAGTCAAAGCAGTCAAGCTCAGCCTGTCCTTTTTGTCCAGTTATTGTTATTAGTCAAAATGGTGGATAACACGATTGGCGGACTCTGAATATTTGTCTGCATGAATGTGGGTCGTTTGAGAAGACAAATAGACATTTCTTTCTTTATGTAGGTGTTCAACGGTCAAAGCACGCACTGTCGAAACAAGATGTGATATCCCTCAATTCTAAGTATAATGTGTTTATAGCTTTTGAAGTAGCTTAGTTTTTCTTAATAGTAGTACCTTTCTATTTAATTGTCTCAAGTCTCAAGCGGCTTTTCAGTGTGATTATATAGTTAGCCAATTATGGATTTGTAGATTGAAGAAACTGAGATCCACCATCTCTTTTAACTGGGTCTTAATTAGTTATATAAGTGAATATTAGTTATATGATTCTAGAATCAACTTATAAACTAGACTTTGCTTGGCAAAGGAGTCCATTATTGGGGACGTCGTGTGGTGTCAATGTTGTCGGCCCGGCTGCTTTGCTTCCTCTGCCTAGCAAAACTGGGTTGGTGTGAAAATTATTTATTTTCCATCCTTAAATTCGGCCGTACATTCCCATTGGTCCCCTAGCCCATTCAAGTTATGCATATTTTGGACCTTCAAAGCCCTTGAGACTAAGTAAATGACATGATATTGGGATTTCTTGATTGGCAATGCTGCAATGCTAACTGTAAGACCACAACCTGTTGGGAGGTTGATCATCAAAAGAGAAGTGAAGAAGCACAGATTTTGAACTACCTCTAATTGTAATGCACAATCGATCTAATTGAGTTTGCGATGACTTGAGGTGAGAGTTTTAGGTAATTGCCAGTAAGAAAAGTGGAACGCTCTACAGCTTGTTACCTGAATGTCGAATGATAAATACAAGTAGCACGATCAAATCAAATACTAGTATGAATAATTCTTTTTAGAAATTGTTTTGCTTGATTGTAAGTGGTGACTTGCTGACTGAAAGATTGAAGGTGATGATCAAAGGAGGCAATGGCGGTCAACTCTTGCAACTAATGACGTTTCCACCTCTTCGGACTCGGGAGTTACCATCAACAATAATCAAAAGCTGGTGCAAGCTATGCCGTTAATCATGATTATGGGGACAAGCATGATGATTAGACTCAGGCTACCCGGCCAGGTGGACCTCCACTACACAGCTGGATGAAGAAAATCCACTGTGGGCCCTAATGCTCCCCATAATGGTGGTTTCATGGTACAGACGGGAGTACAATAATTTGGTGGTGAACACTCGAGGAAGATGAAGATGAAGAAGATCAAAGTTGAAACATCTTTCTTTCTTTCTGTTAGGGGCTTTAGATTTGTGATCTTTGCAGCTGGCCTTTAACAGTACGGTGAGTCTAGTGATGCATAGGTGTAAGGGCGCAAGCTGATGGGTTCATGAGTCCCGATAAAGGGGGGCTTGCTTTTCTGCTGCGTATGATTTGAAATGGAGGAAAAAACGAGCCACACTTTCTGATTCTGAAGTAGGTGTGGGCTTTGTCTGACGTTGACCACGCTGGTGAAAATGAAACAATGAAGATTGATCGTATCTGGTTTTTTGTTTTTTGGGAACCCCAGAGAAAATAAGGAAAAAAATAAAAAGAAAAAAAGAGAGGCAACAAATTGGAGATGATCATGAGCAAATTGGCTAACCCATTCGCTCAGTTTCATGGTTTCAGTTTTGTGGGGTGGGCTGGAGACCAACACAACCACCACCACATCTACCACCTGCTTTCCAATCCTCCATTGATTTCTGTCTCACTCTTACCTGCT